TTATATTTGCCAGGAGATGGGGGCGTGGTGGGGGGGCATCTTGGGGAAATACAAAGAAAGGTATCCAAATACTCTATTTTGTCTTTTCAACTGAAACTTTTATTTAAAAAATAAGGTAAGATATAATTTAAATAGTTTATTTTTATGTGATAAAGATTATGAATTATTAGAGTACATTAAACAAGAGAAATATATTTAAGAGAGACATTACATATTACTGGTTATGGCCTGGAGACGTGGTTTAGTGGTAGGGCTCGCGTAGCATATGTGTAGCTCAGGGTTCAATCCTCTAGCACTCCGAGAGAGGAAAAAAAGAAAACTACCAATTACGTTCCAGTTTTAGGGAGGAAACCTTTTGTTACTCAGACATTTAGTGTGTATATGCATGAACTCTAAAATTACCTTTGGAATTTAAACGCTACTCAATAAGGTAAATTTTCTTTAATCTCGTATATTTAATATCTACAATAGCTGAGTAGAAATGACTAAATTCTTGAAATAGCTGGAATTTCTGCTCAGTGAGCTTTTGGGATTGTTGCTGTTTTTTGTTAGCAAAATTCCGAAAATATTAGATTGCCCAGTTATTTAATTGAAAGAAAAGAGTTTTTTTTTTCTTTAAAATGAAAAAAAGTTTAATTGTGTAACGGTGCTATTTAAAACTGCACTCCTCCAGAAAGCCCTTCGGCATAGTGTGCATTCCCAAGAAGCAAAATTGCCATTAGGCCCCTTGTAATTGGTCCTGACTTCTTCTTTTTCAATTGTGATAGCATTTTATTTGTTCCACACACTTGGATAACTGTATCCTGCATCTGTTTTTTTTATTATTTTCAGAGCTGAAATGCGGCACTGATATTTTAATACTTGGTAGATCCTGTATTCAGCCTCCACCAGATGTATTTTAAATTATTCCTTGAAGAACTGACAAGTGATTAGGGGCTGAGAGGTAGAACTGGCCCTTTGTTAACTCTCAAGTACAACTTTCTTCTTGTGGAGCCCTAACTTATATACTTTCCTTCCATTTGGTCCACATTTAGGTGAATTTTAGTACACTCAAAACTTTTTCAGTGATTCTTTACTATAGATATAATTAAGTTCTGTTTTTTAAAGATCTCTTTATTTCCTGTACAGATTTTTACGTGCTGCAACCTGTAGATGTAGTCCTTAGCAGCACAACTCTTCCATGGTAGGCCTGGGTCACATCTCGGACTTTACCACGTGTAACCTTTGTGACCCTGGAAAAGCCATTGAGGATTCTCAGTCCTCTGGGTTCCTTGTTTCTCCTGTAGGAAAGGGGAGTCCTTACTTGGAGGCTTGTTTCCCTGATTTACACGCAGCAATATAAATGGGAACACTTGGTACCATGTCCCATGCAGTTGGTTATGATGCAGGTGATGATACATGGACCGGGTTGGTGACCTTTTAGTAAAGAAAAGAGCAAAAGTCTGTTGAAAGTCTGTTAGTTCTGACACAGACCCCACATTGCTGAAAGTAAGAGGATCTTTCTGGTTCTCTCTGATGGTTCACAGGATAGGTCCTGGAGAGCAGCAGGCCAGAACTTGTGCACATCCTGGCTGCCCAGCACACTTGCTGTGGGCTCCTGGGCCAGATACTTCACTCACGTAGTGTTAGTTCTCCATGTGTGAAATTGAGGTGATACATCACACATCACAGGGTTTCTGTAAGGATTATATAAGGTCAGGTATTACTACTGATTTTTAACAAGGAAATAATGCCTAAAAAAGTCATAATGATACATAGCTACTCTTAGTATTTTCTTAATTAGTAGTAGCAGCAGTAAAAGGCCTAGGCCATTTTTCTCTGGCAGAGGCCTGTGTAAGGATGTGACTGTGTGAAGAGGGTGCCTATTTGTAGTATATATGAACTCTTGAAAGTTCTTTGGGATGATCCTTTCTTATCATAGTAATATAAGTAAGAGCCTTGCCTTTTTCTGATGTACCAGAATATTAGGGTTGGATAATAGAGGAATCAAGACTAGCAAGTTTTATTTAGTAGATACAGAATTTCCAGATTGTTCCTATTATACATTTGAGTTGGGTATCTTATAAAGCATTATTCTATTCTGTTCCTTATTTTGTTTTTCAAATGATTCCTGTTCATTTTTGAAATAATATTTTTGTCCCTTCTAGGTAAACCCATCAAATCACAGGCTCCTGTTTGAAGTATTTGACGAAAACAGATTGGTGAGTCTTTGTTTTTGAGTTTTGCTTCATTTCTTAAACGTGAATTTTTAGCGCTGAACCTTCCAAACTATCTGTTGGTTGTATATGTTAAAACAGAGGACTACTTTTGTCCCGCAGCTAAAGTTCATCATTCTAAAAGTATTTGTGTGTTTTTAACATGGAAAATTTATTTGAATTTGTATTTTTTTGTTTCAGTTAAGATTATTGAAAGTTATTGGTGATAGTCTTAGCCAGAGTGCTTATTCTCTGGTTTTGTGAACACAGAATAATAAGCAGATCTGTAAAGATGCCAGCAGGTGCATAAACAAACCAATGGGAAATTTTTAACTCTAAACCAGACTATTCTTCTGTGATCCATTCAGTAGCAGACTTATGGTAATTTTCTCTGGAGAAATGAAAATCTGATAGTATATAGTAATAGATGAATCTATACATAGCAAGTAATTAAACTGTATTTTAAATGTGGTACCCTTCTCAAGAGAGATCCTCAGTAAATACTTTCAGAAGCAAAGATGGGGCTGGGGATGTGGTTCAGTGGTAGAATGCTTGCCTGCATATGCAAAGCCCCAGGTTAATTACCAAATAGTGCCAGGTTAGATACCAAGCAGTGCCAAAAAAAAAAAAAAGAAAGAAAGAAAAAAAAGATTCAATTACATTGATTAAAGAGAGAGAATATTCTTATTAACCTTCTTTCTGCAAAATTCAACTGAACTTTGTTTTATACTGGAGATCAAACCCTGGGCCTTACATATTCTAACAGGTACTTTAATGTGGAGCTACATCTCTAGCCCTTTAAAAAATTTTAAGTTTTGATATAGTCTAGTTAAGTTGCCCAGGGTGAGTTGAGCAGGAGATCTTCCTGCCTCACCCTCCCAAGTAGGCAGGATTACAGATGTCTGCCACTCCCAGCTGAAACTCCATGTTTACTTTCTTGATAGATTGAATGAGAGATTCTCCTGAGGGGTGAGTTCTTGCTTTTATCTTCTCCAGTGATGTGAATCAGCAATGTTTTAAGTTTAGTAAAAACACTAAGTCCCTGCAGACATAGAGCCCTCCACAGACTCACTCATATTCTCTGGGTTATTAAGTATAATAACTCTCTTTAAGGTGAAAAAGGAGTCACAACTTGAGGAAAAATCATTTCTGTTTTTAAGTTCAGCATTCAATTTTCTTTTACTAAGAGAAATCACTCTTTAAAAAAAAAATAAGCTTCCCATTTCCATGATCTAAAAGATTGACTATAGTTGGGATGACTTTGCCTTAGATTGCCAACTGTATTTCCAAAGCAAAAAGGGCTTTGAATGCAAAGCTTTTAAGAACCGCTGCATGAATACATACTGTATCTGAACAATCTGACTTTATAATATTAATACTTAGCTTTGCCCTGGGCTATGTGCCGTGTTGTTACTATGCAAAGAATGTTGCTGGTGGTGACTTTTCTCTTTGTTGGCTGTTAATCCAGCAAAGAGAATGCGTGACTAGGGTGGTAGTTGGAAGTTCTAACATTAAACAAACTATCTTTCATTTCTCTCATAGAGGTAATTTTTGGCCTTGAGAACTAACTCATGGCTGTAGAAAACAGGTTTGGATTTATGTAAACACAGGGTTAATCCTCCACACCCTCGATTCTAGAGCTATTGACAAAGTCATGCTTTGTAGATTTTAAGTAGACTTTGTGTCACTCTTAGCAGATTGGTATTTTATTCTATTTTATTTTTTAACCTCTTTCTAAATAAACCTTTTTGTTAAAACAACTGGTATTTCTGGTTCATAGAAAATAATAAGTTTAAAACACAGAATATTTCCAAGTTAACTTAGAATCCGATGACAGGTTTTTGAATGTGAACTTTTATTTCTTAGGTCCCTTTTGGCTCATTGCAAACATAGGAAGATTCCATGTTTGTATCCTAACTGTACTATTATTGCTGACTTCTTACTGGAAAACATTCAGCTCCAGGTGGCATTTCTTCAGTATGGTATTTAATTTAAATTACTCAAAAACCACATGGACACCCTTCCTAAATTTTACTTCCTTTTTGGGAGGAGAGTGTGGGTTTTTTTTTTTTTCTTCTACCTGGCACATGAGAGTGAATGTTTTCTGCAGCTGGGTTTCTTTTTCTCTGGTAGTTCTATGTCTGACAATCATGTTGTATGTGAGGTCCACACTTCTTTTAAATGAGAAATGTTCAAGGAGTGCAGACCAATCAGACGCACAATTGTCTCTGTAGTAAGTTTGTGCCCCTGCACCTCACGTCGCTATTTTGTTACTGGTAGATCATGGTCTAATTATTTCCCATTAAAGGGACACTAATTCTGTGGGTGTGTAATTGTATTTATAGCATGTTTTATTAGTTTGCATTCCCTCATGGTAGTGTAGTGATATCATAAATAACAGAAACATAGCCTCAGATGCTCATGAAAGGGTTTCCCCCTCAGCAAAGCTGTGTTTCCCTTGTTATTTGGTGTGATGGGAAGGTGGGGATATACCAGTGTTTGTGTTTAATGCACTGCGACCCTGGCAGAAAGTCCCATTGCTGTGCATAGTTGGGAAAGAAATGTCCCGTGAATGTAATGCGGTCAGATTTACAACAGCAGGGCTGGAGGTGTGTTTGCTGCCTCAGTCAGCTGCGTGCACTCCCTGCTGGGCTGCCCCTTTCTGACAGAACAGCAGCAGCTGGGAAGGTGCTGTTTCAGGCTCTTGCTGTTTAAAAAAAAAATAAAAGCGAGGGGGGAAATTGCACTAAGTCCACAAGCTGGCATTGGAGGGGGAGAGCGCGGTCATGTGGTTCTGGCCATCCTACCCTCTGTCACGGTGTAGATGAGAGCTTTTTGCTCTTATCCAATCATGCCTGGAATGCTGCTTGCCACTTGGGCTATTTCTGCTATCTGTCGCTCTTGGTGCCGCAGTGCTAACGGTTTGGCAGATGGGACACTTTTTCTTGGAGTTGGTATCTTTGGTTTTTGACTTCTGGCAGTGCCGGGCTTGTTGTTGCTGCTCGCCCTCTCCCTCCCGGCCCCCCTGGTCACCATGGCCCATCGGCTTCGGTTTCATTTTGGCTCTGGTCGCAGCAACACAGCCCCCGAGTCAGAGATCCTAGACCAGGAGAGAGAAGAAGACTTTTTCATGGCATTCCACACCCTCCCGCGGCGGAGCGGCCCACACCCCTTCGCCCAGAATGGAGGGGAGGACGGCGGCAGCCTGCAAGAAGGTGTGGGCGCCCTGAAGCGCAGCTCATCCATGTTCATCCCGCAGCTTCTCACCTGCATCGACACCCGCCCCACGCGCAGCTCCTCTATGCAGATCTCCCTGCAGCGCAAGGCAGCAGATGGTGCCACTGATGGGTGCGGGCCACCCAATGATTCTGAGGACCGGCCACCGAGTGCCACATCCGACCTCGGGGACCAGGCCACAGCCACAGCGGGCCAGAGTGGTGTGGCAGAGCCCTCGCCAAGGGATACCACCGGGAGCTCCCCTCAGAGGGCAGCCCGGGACCCTCAGGTCAACGGCACGTGTGACCGGCACTTGCGGGGCCCGGGCTTGGCTGAAGGCTCGGAGGAGGCCACGCCGGGCCTGCGTATCCAGCACCGCGCCTCCAGTGCAGACGTGCGGCAGGTGCGCCTGCTGCCTTTTGGATGTGACGGCCAGACGGCCCCGGAACCCAGGCGCTGGTCCCTGCAGCATGTCCCTGATGCTTCTGGAAGCTCCGGGAAGCGATGCTTTGTCTTCCAGTTGCAGCAGCCCCAAAAAGGCGCAGGGATGGGCAGCGACTTCAATTTTGGCTTCACCGGCACGAAGGGGGACAGATTGGTGAGGTATCCCCGCATCCGGCTGGAGAGGAGCACTTCATACCCTACCCAGCCCCGAGTGGGCCAGGGGAGCCCTACAGAAGAACGAGGAGGCCCTGAGACGCCTCCTCGGACAGGCAGGATGGCTCCTGAGATCCGCAGGACAAATTCCATGGAGAGGACTCCACAGGGTCAGGGGTGCACATTTAAGATCAGGCAAGATCAAAACGCAGGGCAGCAGCATTTCCGGATTCTTGTGACTCGGGAGCCTGAAGAAACTCGCCAGACTTCTGAGGAGGAGAATGGCAAGAGTCCTGATCCTCCAGGAGCTGGTATCCCGGTAAGTCCGCATGTTTATGAGTGCCAGTTGCTGAGACCACTGGAGAGTCCCAACTCAGAAAACTTACTCTGCAGTGTAATTAAAATAAGCTTCACTCTCTGGTCTGAGAGTTTCCCTGATTGAGGCCAGTGAAGGTCTGGCCGCGTTCTGGGACTGGGTGATTTCTGGTCCAGAGTTTTGGTAGAAGTCCATGAAAATGTTTTCTTTAGGTCTTCAAAGTCAAAGATCTTTGGAAATGCCAGCAAAGTATACACATTCACACTTTTGTTATTTTTCCGTCTGAATAAAAGAATTTTTAAAATTTATTACTTAAAATTAGTCTGCCAAAAAACAAGCCAGTGCCCCGATATGTCGATATTGGAAACTCATTTTAAAAGCTGCTTGCAAATATAGCCAGTGACACTTCTCTTCAAAAATATTCAGTTTCAGTAAAGGTGAACATGATATTGCATTGGACTTGAATTTTAGTGTCTTAATCATTAAGTGCATATAAAGTTCGATTGGTTCTTCCTTAATGACCTTTTTCTTGTAGACTGTTACTGGTCCTCGTTATATTGTCTTTGATTTTTATCCCATGAGATAATACTGAAGAAGAGTAGTGCCATTTTTGAGACAGTAAGAGAGGATTTTGAAGTAGATTGGCTTATGGACCAAGGTTAGGGGAAGCTGGGGAGTCACTAATGGTCGGATTGCAAAGCAGTGCAACTTAACACTGTCCATTTGAGTGTCTAAGCCAAGGATGCTGTATATAGCATAGTAAGTGCCCTGTCTCCAGCTGTGGAGATAGACTCCTTGCAGGAGACTCTGGTTTACTTCGCCTGTGTTCTCACTGTCTCCCTTTCAGTGAAATGGAGTACAGGGAGACAGCTGCTAACTCTGCGAGGCATATGATGACTCTGCAGCTTTCATAGTTGAGAGTGGGATGAAAAGTTTAATTGGTTAGATTTCTTTTTGCTGAGAGTCACTAGCCATTTAGTGTTGCCTTAAAGAACAAACAACTTATATTTTTAAACTGGATTTTTCCTCCCTGAACTTTATGGGGTTACTAGTTTGAGGATATGACTACGAAATGGTTTGAGACTCACATTTGGATTTCACTTGTGAATTGTCTTTTGAAAGTGCGCAGCTTGAAATTACTCTACAATTGTGTTGTCATTTCTTGCTTTGTGTTCAGAAGTATTTTTTTGTGATTCAAGTAAACTTTGCCACTGCTCCATCACTGGCTTTCACCATTTTGAAAGGATAATCAGATATTAAATGCAAATATATTTTCTTTCCAGTTCTTCGTTGTCTCGAATCGTATCAGGAAATGGCTAAGTGCCTTGTGTGGGTTTGAAGCCCTGCCACTTATTATACACCAATACAAATTTCAGTAGGGTAGGAGCTTTTAACCTACCACAAATTAATATGATAATTGTAGGCTTTTGCTTAGTATCACAATTCCATTATAAACTTGGTCTACTTGTCATAGGAAGATTGAGAAAAATTGCATTTCTGACAGTTTTAAGTGCCCAGTTACGTTACTAAAAACAAGTCCTTTTTGCAGTTCAGGTATCAGACAAATACATTTATATGTATGTGATTAAATTCTCATTTGGTTTAGAGTTTTTAATGTAATTAAAAACAAAATATACTAAGATTATATGTCTCCTACAAGGGCTACTTTAATCTGCAAGGACAGTGTGATAGAAAATAAATTTTACAAAGTTAGAAATATAAATTCTGGCATAAAGGTTATTATGGAGAGTAAGTTGTATCTTGTGAAATGGATTTCATAGATACGTGTTTTCATGGACATAAATTTGTACATGGTAAATTGGTTTTCTTTTAAGCCAAAGTTTTTTTCTTTAGAAAACAAAAACAGAGTTGGTCACATAGGAAAACTCTGTGCTCTATTCAGCAGCTTTGATGTGTTTCATACAGACTAGGGGTAGGCAGTAGCTGCTACAGCCTTATTTATCTTGAAAGAAAACATTCACTTGGGTGTCTACAGCCTGCCCACCATCGGGCTTTCTTAGTGTTTCTAATATGTGCTTCTTTGGTCAAAAAGGCATTTAATTATTAAATTTACATGAAAAATTAACTAAAGTTGATGGCAGTCTAGTTTTTCAGTGATGTAGAAAATCTTTTTTGACTTGGAAGTACCACTCCTTTTACAAATGTGCTCAAATTTGATAAGCATGCTGTAGATCTTGTTTAAATTGCTAAGTACTTTTATCTATCTATGCCTCTCAAACCTCCTGCCCTGTACAAATCTAAAACACAACTCCAAAAAAAATGGTAACTAGCTACATTTTTAGAAAAAATACAGAAAGAACCTCTGTAGTGATTTCTCCAGATCAGTTGGTAAAGCAGAATTAGAGCACGGTGGTGCAGGCTTGTAATCTTAGGACTCTGTGAGACTAAGGCAGAGGATCACAAATTCAAGCACCCCTTCACACACACACCAGAAGAACTTACCAAGGCCTTGTCTCAATATGAAAACTTTCAGAAAAGGGACTTAACTAAGTATAAAGACCCTGGTTCAATCTCCAGTGCAACAACAAAAGGCAGAAACGTTTCCTATAAATCATCATTCAGCTAAAATATTTCAACAGCCTTAGAATGTATCCATTCAACCTGTGGCATTTTTAAGTAACGTATTTAGTTTTGTAACGTATTTCAGTTTTTGGCTAATGTGCTTTGGTTATGAGCTGCTTAATTTGCATTGGAGTTACTCTAAGGAAGTTAGATCAGCCATTACCAATATGTGAGCCCCCTTGGAACACTGTTTTTTGCATAATAACTGCTAAGTTCTGTGTTTTACAAGCTCAAGGAGCCAACTTTCTAATTCCATTAATGTTATTAAGTGTTTAAAGTCTACTGTGTATATAATATTACACTAGTTACTTGGGAAGTTTCAGAGACTGTCTCAATTTCTTGCTGACACAGAGGGTAAACAGGAAAAAGAGGATCTGGGGAACAAACCCAGTAATTCTCTCACCTACTGTCCAAACTCAGAGCAGGGGAGGAAGTGTCCTTCTTTCCTTCCACCCTGACCTTTCTGAACTTGCTTGTGTCATCAGTGGACATGTACTTCTTAGAAACAGTGTGGTAATCTTTTGTGTCTAAAAGTTCATTTGCTGAACAACAAAGATGTATTACTTTTATTTGGAGGGAAGTTTGGGCTGAGATGGTTTTACTATACAGGAAAATTTTCCTACTAGTGCCAGTTGATGTCTCTTTTTTTACCTTAAAAATAAATCTGAATATCAAATATATGACCATCGCTTCTTTTTGAAAACGTAACAGCAACATTGTAATGGATAAGAAAAAAAGTCATAGTCCTTGCATTGAATTGGATTCTATCATTTTTTCCTCCCAGATAGAGTAGTGGTCTCCTTTCATCTGGATATAGTATTACATGACAAAAGTTAAGCTATTTTACTATTTTAACTACTTTTTTAAAATGTTGTATTAGCAGTGTGCAAGGTTGACCCTGATTTGTGTTTGTTGACATTAACAAATAGGACTTTCAGTGATGGCTCATATTTCAGGACTTTAAAATGAAAAATGCTTGTATTTTGTTTTGTCTTATTGTTTTGGTACCAGGGATCGAACTCATGATCTTGTGCTTGCCAGAAAGGCGCTTGTGCCACTGAACTAAATCCCAGCAAGAATGCTTATTTATTCTTAAATTAGTATGAAGACTTCTGTTGTAGAGGCATCAACCTCACAGCCTTCCATTCTACCATCTAAAGCAGTGTTTGTCACTGTTTCAGATGAAAGTATGTAATACTGTCATTAGGTATGATAATAGTTTGTATATATCTGAGTATACTATGTATATACAATAAAAATATACATATTACAAAGGTATATGAGTATGTATGCACAATTATAAAGTATACGTTAGGCCCAAAGATACTATGAATGTTTCTTGTGATATGACATTCTGCTGAAAAACTTTGAAGATGATTCATTTGATGCCTTGTAGCACTGGCCTACTAGAAGGAGGAGGGAGCTTTGGGGATTGTAAAGCCAGCCTTGGCAGTTAACTGACTTTGAGACTTTAAGTGGTTAGACTTCCCTTAAGCCTCGCCCCTCATCATTCAAGAGAAAGGTAAAAATGTCCAGCTTCCTAGGTTGGGACACCACAAGCATAGCTCCCAAATTAAATGAGGCAAATTTGTGCAGGCACCAATTCATCAACCAAATATACAAGTCTTTCACCTTAGAGGTCAGTTAGATTATCTGTGAACAGGCAGTTTTTTGGTCAACATAGCATCAGACACAAGAACAGTAGGCATTTGTAGCATATCTGAAAACACAGAATTTAATAACTAGCTTTGATATTCTGACATCTTGTCTTTCCTATTTGCTTCTAACACTGCAGTTCTTAATAAGAATTGATTTGTGAGCCAAACATTGAAGAAAATAACCTTGATGATTTCTGCATTGTTGATTCATTAAAATCTTTAAAACATCCTGGATGTTTTTCCCATGTATTTTTATCACATCATTTTGCTATGGCGGATTTTCAGGGGTCAGGGTCATGTGGACTCCATAGAGCCATTTGAGAAGCAGTGTCATGTTATCTATATAGTCTCCACATTGTGTGACTTACAAACAAGGGAGATGTTTGGGAATATGCCTTACTAGCTGTTGCCTTCCAGAAGGTTTTCATAAATGTTGCAGCTGCTTTGCCTGGCTAAGCTTGGAGGCAGACTTCCTAGTCTTTGAAACAAATCTCCCGTTATATAATGCATACTAATAAGAAGTTTTCTCTCTCTACATAATAGTTCACAAAACCAAAAGAAATTTGTTCCATATAAGGGTTATCTTAACATTATATAAATATTGCATATTTTTGTGTAGCTGGAGCTAATCAAAATGGTAATGGTACTTGGGCAACTTAAAATAATCAGCAAGTTTTTTAAAATAAAAACAATTAACTGCATATTATTATGCCAAGAGAGATTAACTATCCTAAATATACTTTTTCCTGTTAACCCTTAAAT